AAAAAAAAAAAAAAAAAAAAAACAGAAAAAAATCAATGAAACCAAAAATTACCTTTATGAAGGGTCAACACAACTGATACGCCTCTAACCAGACTAACCAAGAAAAAAGGAGAAAAGACAAAAATTACCTATATTAGGAATGATAGAAGAGCTATCACTACAGAATCTATATAAATTTTACAACTTATATGTAATGGACCAGTTCCTTGAAAGATACAAACTACCACAACTCTCCAAAGATGAACAAGATAAAGAGGTCTTACAACTATTAAAGAAATTAAATTTATAATTACATATCTTCCCCCAAAAGTCTCCAGGCCCAGATGGTTTTATTGGAGAACGTTATCAAATATTTTTGAAAGAAATAACATGAATTCCAAATAATTCTGTTTCAGAAATCATAAGAGGAGAAATATTTTTCAATTTGTTTTATGATGCCAGCATCACCTTGATACCAGAAGCCAAAGACATTACTGGAAAAGAACACTATAAATCAGTATCCCTCATATTAGAAAATGGATTCTAGCAATATAAAAAGGACAATTCATCATGGCTAAGTAGGGCTTATCCTGAGAATACAAAGTCTGTTCAAAATTTTCTTGACAAAAGTAGACATCTGGCCATGCGCTGTGGCTCACACCTGTAATCCCAGCACTTTGGGAGCCTGAGGCAGGCAGATCACCTGAGGTCAGGAGTTCGAGACCAGCCTGACTAACATGGTGAAACCCTGTCTCTACTAAAAACACAAAATTAGCTGGGCGTGGTGGCGGGCGCCTGTAATCCCAGCTATTCAGGAGGCTGAGGCAGGAGAATAGCTTGAACCTGGGAGGTGGAGTTTGCAGTGAGCTGAGATTGCACCACTGCACTCCATCCTAGGCCTCAGAGAAAGACCACATTTCAAAAAAATAAATAAATAAACATCCATTCAGGGGGGAAAAAAAAAACAAAAACCCAGCTCAGCAAACTGGGAATAGAAGGAAACTTCCTTAACCTGCTAAAAGGCATTTTAAAAGATATTTAATGTTAGAAGTCTAAATGCTTTCCACCAAAGATTGAGAACAAAAAAAGAATGTTTGCATTCACCACTCCTAGTCAATATTGTTCTGAAAGTTCCGGCCAATCTAACAGGTAGGCAAAGAAAACAAAAGTCATGTTGACTGAAAAGGAAGAAAAAGAAAACTGTCTTTATTCACTAATGACATGATCGTCAAAAAGAAAAGCCCAAGAAATCTACAAAAACTCCTAAAACTAATAAATGATTTTTATGAGATCACAGAATAATGTGCAAAAGTCAATCATATTTGTAAATATAAGAAACCAAAAATTAGAAATGTAAAAATTTAATAACATTTATATCATAAAATATGAAATGCATAGGGATAATCTGACAAAAGATGTACACGACCTATACACTGAAAACTAAACAACATTGCTGGTAGAAGTTAAGGAATGACTAAGTAAATTGAGAGATATTTCAGGTTCATGGATTAGAATATGTAATGCTGCTCTTTTTCCGGCTGGAACCATGGAGGGTGTAGAAGAGAAGAAGAAGAAGGTCCCTGCTGTGCCGGAAACCCTTAAGAAAAAGCGAAGGAATTTCGCAGAGCTGAAGATTAAGCGCCTGAGAAAGACGTTTGCCCAAAAGATGCTTCGAAAGGCAAGGAGGAAGCTTATCTATGAAAAAGCGAAGCATTATCACAAGGAATATAGGCAGATGTACAGAACTGAAATTTGAATGGCGAGGATGGCAAGGAAAGCTGGCAACGTCTATGTACCTGCAGAACCCAAACTGGCGTTTGTCATCAGGATCAGAGGTATCAACGGTGTGAGCCCAAAGGTCCGAAAGGTGTTGCAGCTTCTTCGCCTTCACCAAATCTTCAATGGAACCTTTGTGAAGCTCAACAAGGCTTCAATTAACATGCTGCGGATTGTACAGCCATATATTGCATGGGGGTACCCAAATCTGAAGTCAGTAAATGAACTAATCTACAAACGTGGTTACGGCAAAATCAAAAAGAAGCGAATTGCTTTGACAGATAACGCTCTGATTGCTCGATCTCTTGGAAAATACGGCATCATCTGCATGGAGGATCTGATTCATGAGATCTATACTGTTGGAAAACGCTTCAAAGAAGCAAATAACTTCCTGTGGCCCTTTAAATTATCTTCTCCACGGGGCGGAATGAAGAAAAAGACCACCCATTTTG